TGATTTAAAACATGCTACACTAATTAAGTTAAGTGGAAGCATGGCATGGTGGTGTAATGAGTAACAGTTCAGATTGAGAAATTGGAAAGCTTAGTTCAAATTCCAGTCAAGTTCATTACATTCACTTGCATGCTAATACCCTTGGGAAAGATATGAATTCATCTCTTCCTCTCAGTTATGGGTAAATAGTGGGACAAACTGGTCACTATAGCCTTGGTTGGCAACCAGTCTAAAAGAAGGAAAACTGAATTCAAACCACTTGCTGCCTTGTAGGTTCTGCCTCTTTAACTTATAAGAGAAGGGACAGGGTTTTGTGATGTCAATGAACACTCGTTGCCACTTTTGTAATGTCCACGAATACTCATTGTCACTTTCATAATGCTCGTTGTAGTAGAGACTTTGTAATCGCAGATACAACTATAGTAACACTGTTGAACAATACTGATGTCAGATGCTTTCAAATAACACTTGCACTAATAGTACTTGCTTGATAATACTCGCTTGAAAAGTAACCACCGAATAGTAATCCATATAGTAAACTGTAGAGTGATCGCTTACATGCCATGCTAATTTACATATATACATTTCCTTTACCATCACGTGATCTACTTATTCAAAATGGGATCACCTGTTTTTGCTCTCTCTGGTGATCTGCGTTCAAACTTGAGTGTCAGCAGTGACACTTTATTCCTATATAACACAGGTTAACCTCAATATCCCCAGAGCAAAGGGAACCAACAAGCCATTGCACTATTCTGCTTTGAATATCACCATGAACCACGATTGTAAGATGGAGGAGAATGATGACTACCGTGGCACAAAATGCATTAACTGAATAAATGATGAATGACTCTAATTAAAAGAGAAAACAATTTACTAAGACAAAAATGTATAGGAAGTGCTTTAATCGGTAGATCATCGACAGTAAATTTACATCCTGGTTCTTACAACATTTCTCTTTTCTTCTCAGATCTTCTATTATCACAATGTGAGATACTTAATGACAAAAGTGATGGAAACTGGAACAAAAAGAAAAAAGAATCTAAGTGAAATCAATTAGATTATATACCAAAATCACATTTAAAAAATATTTAAAATTCTCAGCATCTCTCTTTCACTTGTGCACATGTAGTTGCATCAATATAAATATAAACGTAGTCCAATGAAGTCCTAAAGGACGAAATGTGTCACACAAAATCTTTTTCCATTTTGTCATACTTCTTTTCCCTAAAACATATATTTTCATATATATATCTTACTTATTATAAAACGCAGATTGTGTGTGTGTGTGTGTGTCTGTACGTTTATATATTGTATCAGATTTCCTACATTTTTCAACCAATTTCAACAAAACTTCACAGGACTGTGTAAAATTACCTTGCGGTGGTTCTGACAGCACCAAAAATTGGAAAAACACAATTGTTTTTGCATGAAATCAATTTGAAAACACTTAAAACACGATTCTGTCACCAGAATGAAAGGGGGACAACTCATATCGAGTTATACTTATTATAAAACACAGGTTGTTTGTGTGTGTGTGTGTTCATTTATATATGGGATCGGATTTCCTACATTTTTCAACCGATTTCAACAAAACTTCACTTTTTTTTGGCAGGTAGTGTTTCTTATTGTCTTGTACACTTTTTTCTTTACTTTTACATTCAGAATGCTTTAAAAATTCCATTTACAAGACAATTGTTTATAATAAAATTCTATTCAATCGATACTCATATAACGATTGAAAACAATGTTTTTGTTTGAGTTTGGGTTTGACCAATTCGTAAAAAAAAAAAAAACTAATTAAGACATGCGTGTCCGTCAACATTAAACAATAATCTTTGTCAATTTTATTTTTCAATCTTTATGATGGTCGATACTTGATCTATCTCTTACTGTTACATCACCGGGCTCTACTGCTAGTATATATATATATATATATATATATATATATATATATATATATATATAAAAAGAAGTAATCATCCAAAGAATTAATCAGTAAAGTTAATGTAATTAATGGTGAAATCACTTTGCTAACAAATCCATAAAATATTAACTTACTAACAACTCTCTGAATGACGCGATCCTTATGTTTAAAAAATTATGAGATGGATTAGATGTTCTGTTACAAGTACTTTTGAAGAAATCCGCTCTTTCATCGTCAGGTATTAATATTGTTTTCATTTCAGGTAAATTTCCAAGATGAAAATAAATGTATTGCAAGCAGAAAGATGTTTTTTTTTTTTTTTAAAAGTGTGCCATTTCGCATTAATTACATTAACTTTACTGATTAATTCTCTGGATGATTACTTCTTTATAATATTATATATACTGCACCAATTAATATATACATATATATATAAATTCACTGAATGTCTCTTTTTGTATGACCGCCTCTCATTGCATAACTTAAGGAAAGCTAGATTCTTGTGATTATTAATGGGAGTTTGGAACATGATTTATGGATATTACTTTTAGGAAATTTCAAAACTTTTTGATTTTCTATGTAAGTATAATGATAAACATGGACTCTTACTTTATGTCTGTCATGTTAGCAAAACTAAATCCTTATCTTTTAGTTTAAAGTAGATATCAAGCAAAAAATCTTCCCCATTTAAAACCATAAAACAAATTTTTACTCTTTCTTTCTGCTTGTCAGAAAATCAAAGCTAAAAAATAACGTTTCCTTTACATTTTTATTTTGGAAGTTGAAATGATAAAATGTTAAACTCAAGTTTATTATAAATCCACAGTAGCACGTAGTTCAGTGTTAAGACAATGTTTATTGCTGCACTAAAAATCCAACATAAAATTTTGATTTTCAAGAAGTATGGGTATTTGAAACCTTTTTGTGAAATTACCTCCAGTTATTTAAATTAAGAATGATTCAAGAGTTTGAGAGGAATGATTTACAAATTTCAAATAAGTTATAAAATCAATACTTCAAATCTATCATTTGAATTAACAGGGCAAAAATATCTGTTTCAGTCTTCTACAGGAACTAGCTTAAAATCTCGCCTATTGGGTTTTCCTTTCATCTTCTTTTGTCTGCATTATATATATATATATATATTTATTCACATCATCTTTTGTCTACATTACATATATATATATATATATATATATATATATATATATTTATTCACATCATCTTTTGTCTACATTACATATATATATATATATTTATTCACATCATCTTTTGTCTACATTACTATATATATATATATATTTATTCACATCATCTTTTGTCTACATTACATATATATATATATATTTATTCACATCATCTTTTGTCTACATTACATATATATATATATTTATTCACATCATCTTTTGTCTACATTACATATATATGCACATCATCTTTTGTCTACATTACATACATACATATATATATATATATATATATATATGAGAGAGAGAGATGGATAAAAACAGTGTGGACATAGTTGGTTTAATGATCTTCTAAGGCATAAAACTGCAAGTTACTATGCAGTGTGTATTTCTATATCCACATGATTTATATCTACTCTTTCTCTATAAATATACCAAATTTTAAATAGTTGTGTGTGATCTGATAATTGCTTCAGATGTGAAACTGTCAGTCACCATAAAGTGTTTGTGGCAAGTGTGTTCACTTCAGAGGGTCACCAGTGTAGATATGTGGTAGGATAATTATTTTATCGGAAATTTTAGAATAAAACAAGCTAACTTAAGGGTTTAAAATAAATAGTATATTTTTATTTATTTTCTTTAGTGATGAGTGAATCCTTTGGCATTCAGTGTATCAAAAATGTTGTTAATAAGGCAGATATTGGTAGTAGTCTGGAGAAATGTTTGTTTCAGTAGTTTAAAGTCAGACCATGATTGTAGTAGCAATATCAAAAATTAGGTCAGTGTCAATCTACTGTGTTTTATTTTTGGACCTGAACAGGGCAGAAATGTCAGTAACAGATCACCTCTTAACTGCTTCTTCACATGTCTGCGTTCTTTTGTTCAATCCTCTTCTGCCATCTGTTCTGCCTTGAGCCCAGAGGTATCAGGTTAATATCCTTTTGATCAAGTTTGAGAATTTGGTGGGAACATTATTTCAGCTAATACCAAAAAGTCTCTTTGTCTCAATTTTTTGATTGGCCAAATCATTTTATTTTCTGGTGTTCCTTTCTTTTTCATTTTTTTATAATGGAAGTTATGCGTGGAGCCACCCTTATTTTTGGTATTTTTCAGTCACAAATATGTAGGCTCAGATTCTGCAAATTTTTGTTGTTTGGTGCTGGGTTCAGACTTTTCTTCCACTTTTTTTTATTCGAGGGTTGCCTTCTCATTAGTTGAGAGTATAGAAAGAGAAGTTTAGAGAAAAAAAGAAAGAAAGAGATAAGGTTTTTAAAGGAAAGCAGGAATGCCTTATTTTAATTTTTTTTTTAAATTTTTTGTTTATATATTTTATTTTTATATTTTATTGTTCTTTTTTTATTGGGATGCACTAGAGGATGATTTCTATGTCCACACAGTTGACATCTACAAACACTTTACATGTGGTATTGAGTATTTTCTCCCATAAATATAGCAAATTTTAAACACACACACACACGTGTGTGTGTGTGTGTGTGTGTGTGTGAGGAATATGCATTAAATTATTTTTTGGCATGATGCAAGTTTGTCATAAGGCCACATTCATAAAGTATATAGTAGTTCATGAATCTTCACTACAACAAATGTATTTACATATAAAATAATCTTTATATATTTATATATTACTTGGAGAAGGCCAAGAAGGTACAATGGCCAAAACATTGTAAATATGACAACAAAGATGAAGACAACAGTCTGAACAATGTAAATAGCGTAAATATTATTTTGTTTAATAAATTTCTGGCGAAGTGATTAATATTTCATCTGCATTTCTAAAATAATTTTACTAATTGACAACTTTCTATTCTACAAATAATCCAATATCTTTATTTTCTTCATGGTTTTTTTTTTTTTTTAATGCCAACTAGTAAAAGTTTGGGGCTTGAATGGAAGTCTGCTTCACACATTCTGTGGACATTCTAAACCTATATCCAATCTCATCCTTCATCCAAAGAATCCTTTGTTGCTTATATCCAGTTCTTTTGATGGAACCATCAAAATTTGGTCCTTGGAAACATTGGATCAAATCTACAAGTAAGTAAACTTAGCCTCATATAATTAAATTTTGAATCTAAAAATCAGTAATTCAAGTTCTTAACCAACACTTCAGATGCAATAGTATTTACTGTATTAGACAGCATATAAGACACACTTTTTTTTTACTAAAAATATTTTTTAAAATTTCACTGCATCTTATATGCCATATGTAGGTTTACTAATTTTATTACTAATTTTTTCTTGATTTGTCCTGCTGAAATTGGGGTGCATTTTATACACCCATCCATCTTATATACCATCAAATACAGTAGTTCACTTTTAATAGACAATGTATTTTCAGCCATTATTATTAATTTTGGTTGTATTTACTTTCATCTTAATTTTTAGTTACTTTTTATCCCAACTTGATGCCATTGATCTAGAACAGTAAGTTAATGTAGGAGTAAACATAAAGCAGCAAGTTCATTCAATCAGGTAACAAACTAAAGAGACAAGAGTTCAAATCATACTGAAAGCTTATCTTTTGTTTCTGATTTATACTGTCTTCTCACTGTTGTAGATCAATGGCCTAGCTAAAGTTACAATAATAATAACCTAAAAATTCAGATGGAAATAAATACTATTTAAAATTAATAATGGTTAACACTTCATATGATTGCAAATAGAGAATTTTTATGATTGTGGTATTTTCTGTTATAATGGAATGTCCCACACTCCCTATCACATATGTGGACTGACTATATCAGTAGATATATATATAGTGAGCACAGGATATACCTAACGGACTTGCTTCAGGAATTACTAGCCTGCTAACCAATTCCCTGTCTTTCAATAGTGTATTCTCTTTTATAATAAACCTCTCTTTCTTTCATCTATGCCTGTGTTGATGTTCCTTTCACTAGAGTACCACCTTTGTCTGTTTGTAACCTTCTTTAAGGATACAACATTCTCAAACTTTTTAGACCATAAAAAGGTATTGGAAAAATTTTGTGATAAATGTAATAATGATTTATTTTGAAAATGATCATGTTTCAAATATCATATTGCAAAAGAACTTCTTTTACTGATTTTTTTGTCTCACTTTTGCTTAAAGTTTTCATTTCTTACAGAAACGTATTGAAAATGATTTTTTTTAGAAAGTATTTACTATAGAAATACATTTAGAAGTGATTTATTTTGGAAAGTACTTACTATAGAAATGATTTATTTCAGAAAGTATTTACTATAGAAATTATTTATTTTAGAAAGTAATTTCAAATTAATTAAAATAAAAATTATTGTATATTTTTAAAAATACAATGCCAGTAATTTATTATATAAAACCATTCAAAATGTTTATTATAATTTGTAAAAATATACAAAGAAAATATGCTTTATTTTTAGAACAAAACAGTTAATTTACAATGGTAAGCAACAATTACTTACAATTAAAATTCTTTTAATTGGAAAATGTACCATGTTTATGAATTGTATTTTCTTCACCAAATGTTTGTATAAAAATAGTTTTCTGTCTGAACATAACATAAAGAGGGCAATTAAAACCTGTAATAAATTTCAACTAAAATTTACCACCAACCACTTCACCAAATGACGTCAAACAAAATACAGAAAAAGGAGTTGACAGCTATTAATACACACATACTTTTCAAGAATATCATGGAAAATAGCTCCAAAGAAGGACAAACAGCAAAGACTGTCACACTTGCTTTATGCACAAATTACCTCTGAAAACATAACCAACATAGTATGTCCTTGTACACTGTGTACAATGCCAAGAAAATCATAAACCTTAAATCATGCACCAAGCTATACAGGAATCTCACAAAATCCATTGAAGGTCAAGATACTGGAAAGGTGCAAGAAAGTGTTCAGGTGCCTCAAGAACCATGGGTTCATAGATAAAATACTCTCTGATGAGAAAATCTTTGAAATAAATGCTTTTTTTGAACCACCAAAATACCTGATATTAATGACACTTTCAGATATAACTTACCAAGTTGTAACCTCTGGCAGGAAAAAGATATTCATATTTTAAGTTTGAAGAAAAAATGGGTATTGATACTGATTACAAGGTCCTGAGGTACCATATTTTGCCACAACCCAAGGTTAAATACCCAAACCCTGCCTATATGTGAATCCAGGAAGGTGCTCCCAAACACACTGCCAAGAATGTGCAAAAATTCTACAGAATTAATTTCACTAATTTCTGGCCAATGGACTTCTGACTCTCCTCCATCCTGAACATGAACCCACAAGACTGTGATGTGTAGCGTATTTTGTAGCAGGCCACTAACAAGACCTCCAATGCTAACATCAATATCTTTTTAGCTGCTATTAAGTAGGAGTAGACCAGGATGTTTAAGTACTTGATGGGTAACAGCTGCACAACTCAAGGTCATTTTAAGATATTAATTGAAAATAATCACAGCCATATTGAATAAATTGTCTTGATTTTATCTGAGTTTTATTAATAGGCCCATTTATTCATAAAAAAATAAGTTTCAAAAGTTGCATCAATTCTATCAGCATTGCTTCCCTGTCATATATATATATATATATATATATAATATATCATATATATAATCGACTCTCCCGTCACGTTCAACGTATGAGGGTCAGGCCGATAAGTCCCCAGGAAACCGACATCCCGACACCGGCACATGAGATTTGATTATAGTGGTGAAGGCCTCGTGCAGGACCAGCCACACTTTTTGGAGGGACGAATACAGAAACCTGGTGCACCGAATGCATGCCACAAGGTTCCCAAACGACCCTCCGCAAGTTTTGAATTCAGAGTTGTCCTTCTCCTAGACCAGTTGCCATCCAAGGCTATAGAACCCAGTCTGTCCTGCTATTTTACCCATAGCTGGAGGGAGATGAAGAGGATACATACCTTTCCCAAGGGTATTAGCACGTAAGTGAATGTAATGGATTCGACTAGAATTCGAACTCGGCTCTGCGATTCCTCAATCCAAGCCGTTATCCACTGCTCCACCGTGCCTATATATAATGACTTTATGGTTGCATGAAGCAGACTCACTGTTGGGTGTTGACTTCAGTGTCCGCTTTTATATTTACATACACTCTATCTCTGATTAAAATTATATTTTATCATTCAATGTCCACTTATATATATATATATATATATATATATATATATATATTATGTGAAAAATATATAGAAAATAGGAAAGAACTCGTTAGGTAAATAATCCAAAGTTCTTTAGTATTTTTGTTATTATTTTTAAAAAATAGTGCTCGATACAAAAGTAGAGCATAAATATAATTATTTATTTAAAAATATGATTTCAACACGCTACATAAGAGTTCTCATGTTTCAGAACAAGAGCCGAAAACTTCAATATAATTATTTGAATTAAATTGAATTAAAGCTTAGTACTTTAATTCAATTTAATTCAAATTAAGTTTTTCTTTTATCTTCATTCATATTGTCTTCTTACAGATATTTTTTATTTATATCTGAAAATTTACAGACACACACACTTATCTATATAGTAGGCATTCATTTTGTTTTTTTGTTGTTTTTTTTTTAATCATTTTACCCCAAGCAAGGTGGGAATGTCACTAATACACACAGGGTTACAGTGAGTAAAATTGAGAGAAAAAGCTAAGTATAGGGGTGTTGAGGAAAGGATAAAAGATGAACAGGGTTCAAGACAATAGAAGGTAGCAATTGATGGTACATTTAAATTTTTGAAGATTGTAGTTTTCAGGGAAGTGAGTAAACAGAATGGAGTTCCACAGTCAGGAAGTGCAAGAAAAGAAACTGTTGGAGTAGAAGTGGCAGTTTGATTTAACTATTTTAACAGTAAAAGGGTGGGACCTAGGTGCCAATCTAGCAGCACGCTTAAATTCATGTAGTTGGGGCACCAGGGATAAAAGATTGTCGGAGCAGTTGCCATGAAAATATTTGTAGAAAAGACAGAGGGAAGCCACATCATGTCTGTGAGAAAGTGACTGAAGTTGAGATGCTAATTCAGGATTGATTACATTGCAGATCCTTCTTTGGATTTTGTCAAGAATCTTGAGATGAATAGCAGGGGCACTGGACCAAATATTACAACAGTATTCAATGCATAGCAAAATCATCAATTTTGATGGATTTGTTATTGAGACAGGAGTAAATGGTAGTATCATCTGCATAAATGCCTACTTGGGAACATCAGGAAGATCATTGATGAAGGTCAGAAACAGTGTAGGACCTAGGATAGAGCCTTAGGGGACACCCACATTCATGTGAAAGGATCTGGAAGCGAGCCCATTCAGAACAACCTTCATTTCACAATTTGATAGGAATGATTGGATTAAATTAAACAAGTGTCATGTAATACCATAGCCCTGAAGCTTTTGTAGAAGACTAGCATGCCAAAACATGTCAAATGCCTTTGAGATATCTAGAGTCACAGCTCAAACTTTGCCATTATTATCAAGAGCTTGATATACAGTAGCAGCCATAATATAAGGAACAGAAACAACAAAGACATAAATATGTGTATTACTTAAAAAGTAATGCATGATTAGCAATGAAATTTTTTACCGAATAAAGATTAGGGTGTAATGCATAAATATTATACAAAGTTACAAAAATTTACATAATAGTTTTTTTTTAAATAAAGATTAAGTGGAACAAAGGAAATAAGGAACTGGACAAAAGTTAAGGAACGATGTTAATAATTTGCATAAACTTTTAATTTACATTGTTAAAAAACTCAATGGAGCTTTTCAACAATAAGTAAAAGTTCATTTATCATTAGGACTTTATTTTTAAGCAATATGGCAAATTCTACATACAAAACGCTCTCTTTTGAAGAAAAAAAACTCATTATCACTAACTATCAAGAAAAAAAGTCAATTTCAGAAATTTCTGATATTGTTCATAGGTCTAAAAGTGTTGTTCATCGTGTAATTAGCAGGTATAAAACCGATAAAATGTTAGATGCAAAACCAAAAACTGGCAGACCTCCAAAAACATCACAAAGAGAAGATTGAAGAATTGTTAGAATATCTACAAAAAA